ATCTTAGTTTGCTTTATCGACAATCCCTTCACAAAATGTGATATCATCGAGCTCTTTATAGCCTTGAAATTAACGTTTGTTCTGTCACTCTCCAGCACCCGTAGTAACGTAGTGTAGTGGTAAGAAATCGAAATTAAACGCCATTCTAACCAGGTTCGATTCCCGTTGTAAAAAAGAATGAGGCCCTAGAAAGGGCGCAGATGCTCTATCTCTTTGTCTCCTATTTGGAGCCCAATTGCTCCTCATTCTCGCTTTACGCATCTTCCCTTTATCCGATTCCCGCCTCTGGTGGCCGTCGAACCGCGTGTCCATTGGCAGAATTGGTGTCGCTTTCCGAAGAGGTGTACAGCCTGACGCGCGAGTGGCTGTCCCGACTGCCGTGCGAGAAGCGTGCATGTCTGCTCGGCTTTTTCGGTCCTCTGCCCGACTACACGTCCTGCCTCGTGCCCGTCCCAGCATACCTCCCCTCCGGCCGGACACACTCTTCCGGACCAGGCACCGGCGAGCCTTGTCAACCGCGGAGTCTGGAGCGGGCGTCCGAGGCCGTCGGTCAGTCCGGCCGCACCAACGGTCTGCCGACTGCAACGACATCCTCCCTCCTCGTCGGTTGCCCAGCGACAGTTGGCTCCAGTCCCGTTGTCTCCTGCCATCTCCCACGAGCAAACACGTGAGTCGGCGATACTTTTGCTTGAGTCATGCTCTATCCAATCAACGACACACTCTCCACAGCGTTATATTTCACCATATTACTAACTATCGAATGAGTAGTAGCTGAAGTAGGACTCATCATTTTAATTTTTTTAAAGAGGCCTAAAATCGGCTCGTTTGAGTACCAACTTGCGATATTCCAGTGTGGACTCTGCCCTCATCCTCTTCTTCTTCCCCGTCTTCAGGGCAGCATTGGGTTGTTTGCTTCATTTGATTGAATCATTCTATTCGTGTCAAAAGTTAGTCTTACTGAAAACCGCGAAGTAAAGTTGGGTTTTGAGGAATCGCTTGTTTCATAATTGTTGAGCTTACTTCCATTTCGAGTAAAGGTTTTGGGTAAAGATATTCGAAAGTCGGTTCCACCAGACCAGCTGTCGATTGGCTTTACTGAAGCATTCATGCTGACGCTGTTTCCGAGACAATCTGCTTCGATTCCGGTGAAAAGGTGCTGAGCTTTCGTCCATCGCATGATGAACATCATCAGAGCAAGGTATCATTTTTGATGAGCATTTGAGGATGAACCGGTGAGCTTGAATTTGGTTGTGACGATAATAGCCTCGATGCTCTGATGATGTTGGTCATGTGACGGACGAAATCTTAGCACTTTTTCACCGGAATCGAAGGAGATTGCCTCGTAAACAGCGTCAGCATGAATCTTAATGTCAAGAGGAATCCGCCGTCGTCTTCTGGTGGAACCGACCTTCGAATCTCTTCACGCAACACTTTCCCTCGAAATGGAATTAAGCTCAACAATTAAAAGAAAACGATCTTCCGGGATGACAACAGCCAGTGCTTGTTGTACTGCGTTGTCATGACTACTCGATCCGATCTCGTCTCGTCTCATTCCTCTCATCAGGGCTGCCCCGGCCCTGCAGGTCACTTCTGCCTTGTTGTTGCGTCTGTCTCGTCACGCCGCGACCACGACCGTTCAGGCTCCGCAGATGCGTACTCGCGGACTCGGTCCTGAAGGTGCCGATGCTTCGGACGAGACTCGGGATCTGCCGGCCTCGCGAACGTGCGAGTTTGCACCACCGCTCGCTAACGTCGCGGCAAACGTCGACGTCTTGGTCGGCCGGACCGAGCCGCCCAGTTTCGTGTGGTGGCTGGTTGCTGTGCTGCCGATGGAGGATCGCTGCAAATACGGCATGCTGGCATTGCGGCACTCGGAGACGCGGATGCGCTGCCTCCTAAGAGCCTTGCGTCGTCTGATACAGACGAATCCCCCTCTCGACATATGCAACCGCGCCAACGGCAACGGCAACGGCGACGGCGACGGTCATGCCAACGAAGCCGGCGGCGGTTACGCCTCGACCGAAGGGGGCCGGGCCACGGAGGTGGAAGGAAGGGAGGACAGGCTGTACCGGCCCGGGGGCTCCGAGACTCAGACCTATCCAAATGTTGCTGTCGTCGCCAGTAAGCCCGAACATTTTTTCCTCTTTTCTTTCTTTATTGCCCCACACGCAATGCTCCTACTCACCATCTGACCTCTCCAAGTCGCAAATACTCCAAAAATAGCGGCCGACTAGGCATTACGCGACAGGAGAATTTCACTCCTCTAAACCGTGTTCTCAATCTGAAATGATACTACTACACAAGTATCATAATGCATAATAAAGAGAAAAATTGTTGTGGTGCTGTTCATTTCGTGACGCCGAGCTCATCTGACAACAGTAGCAGATTGCATGTCGTCTTTTCCATTCAAGGTGTATTCACTCTGTTTTGTTTAAGGTGCTACGGTTACTGGTAGTTGAATTTTCCCAAAAGACAATACATTTGGCAACAAGGCCTATGTGAAATGCCTGCAACCCGTCCCCGCATCACCTTAAATGTAATAGGGCAAATACACTTCATATGTAAACAATCAATTTACTTGAAGAATACGAGATGATTAAGATGTATTCACCCTATTTAGTTTAAGATTATGAAGTATTTGTGGTTGAATTTTCCCACAACGATATGAACAGAGCCAACGTTTCCATTGCATTTCACATAATCTTGCTCTTCTAAAAGTGTTCTCGTCCAGGCTGAAGTAGACTGCAAATTCAACGAAGAAAAGTTGGGTTTCGAGGAATCTCCTGTTTCATAATTGTTGGGATTACTTCCATTTCGAGTAG